TATAATTACTCCATTTCCTATATATTTTCCTCCTCAGCAATGTTTATACTTGCATAACTCATCATTGTTTTTAAGATATTTTGATATGTATTATCTCATTTGCTCTAAAGCACCATTTATGGACATCATTTACAATATTCTATTTTGCAAGGCAGAATATTAATGCCATTTTTTTTTACCATATATGTATTTTGGTATTGCCAAAATGCCCAAAATTAGGATGCTAATAACCGAGTGGTTTTATAAAGTGTACTGTTATCTGTCCCAAAAAATCAACTGAAAGTTAAGAATGTGGTAATAGGGGTGCCTAGGTGGCTCAGTCGGTTAAGCGTCTGCCTTTGGCTCAGGTCATGATCCCAGGGTCCTGGGATCAAGCTTTGTGTCAGGCCCTCTGGTCAGAAGGGAGTCTGCTTCTCTCTCTCTTTCTTTCTCTCTTGCTGTCACTCTCTCTCTTTCTCTCTTGTTCTCACTCTCACTCTCTCTCAAATAAATATTCCTTTTTAAAAATTAATTAGTTAATTAATTAAAGAATTTGGGGATAGTTTAGAAATGTCATGCGTATGACAAGGGGTGCATATGCCTTAGCACCAGCCCTTAGTAACAGGCTGCTGGGCTTCACAGAAGTGCTTGGGACTGAGTCCTCCCCACATCTGTGAAGGGCCAGGCAGAGCTCCTCCCATCCAAGGTCCAGTCCTCCCTTCCCCAGCCCTCAATAGGTTCAGTAGGAGTCAAAAAGCTGCAGGAACCACTAATTTTGAACACAGAATAAAAAGATCCAAAGAGACAGCAAATACCTACTTCACGTCTACAATCATCTGCAAAACTGTTGGTAGACCTGCAAAGAGATAGGACCCTTGTTATCCTTTGATTTGGCCTATTAGTTCCGAGGAAAAGAAAGAGTATCTGGAGCCTCCACTCCAGAAATCAAGGAAAAGATACTTGAAGAGCGCTTCCAGTCACTGGGGAATCATGTGATGCGCCCTCCACCCCCACAGCAGAAGATTCTAAGACTGGAGGTGCTACAGCTTATTTTCCTGATCTTGAGCCATTATCACTTTCAATAATGTAGAAATCCTTTAATTATTACCATCAGTTTTGTCCAAGACATTTTTAAAGGTCACCCAGTAAGTACGGGGCACCGCCAGGCTTCAAATAGAGTGCAGAAATGAGTAAGACACAGTGGATGCTCTCAGTGAACTTATATTATGGTTATAAGAAATACAACAAACCTCCAGAACATTTATAATATAAGGTAGAATATAAACAATATCTAAGAGAAACAAAGGGCATTCATTAAACATTCATAATACAATTTATAAATGTGCTTTTATATACCTTAAAATTCAGAAATGTCTGCAGCTTTAAGTCCAAGGTGAAATAGAACTTGTTGACAGGCTGTCCTCATTTCAGAAAGTTCAAAAAGGAACTCTTCTTTCAGCATTGTGTTTTATGAATTTGAAGATCATAAACCAGCAGAAGCTATAATGCACATTAATGCCAGGATATATGAAAGCCAATATATTGTATGGTTAGACTTGGCTTATTCTCAGGAAAGAATTATGTGATTGGTTGTGAAATCTTATTTATTGCTCTTAGTTGAATGGCTAAAAGTTCTTCCTAACTAATTTGTTTAACTGGAGTTGTCATTTAGGTAAGTCATGGATTTAAAAAACTACTTTATAGGCTCTATTAGATAAAGAATACATCTATCATTTTATATTGGCCACCTTCCAAATAAAGAACACTCTTCATTTTTTTGGATAGTTTCTAATACTGTTTTATCAGAATACAGATGGTTTATTTCTTACATTTAAAAACATTTGTTTAAAAGAAAATCATAGAAAGTATTTTTTTGGTTGATTCTCCTATATTATGAGTATGTACTTTTAGTTTTTCAAGATTTTATGGGGTTCAAATGAATCGACTATCCTGTGATGATTGGAGTACTCGGCAAAGTGCCTGAATCCATGGTATTAACCTAACCTGCTTAAATTGAACATGTTTGTCATCCTCTTAAGATGAATTAATTCAGCTTTCTCATCACTAATTATGGAGGGAAATTAGAGTTTATTTTAAAACATTTGGGACAATAAAATAGCCATCTAGGCTTTACAGTGAACAATTCACAATCTCTTTGTAACACATGATATTGAACTCAAAAATGGAAAGAAAAAAAGGTACAAAAGACACTGTATTTTCTCTCTGATGAAGCCTATTCCCCAGACCGTAGCATATTTTTCATGTGATCTCGTGCGCTCAAACAGCTGCCTCTGTGGGGGTGATTCAGCTGATTAGTGTGTGTTAGAGGCATGGCCGATGTTCCAGATTCCGTCCTTCCTCAGTAGACGGTTTTTACAATGGCAGATCACGCTTCTTGCTAAATAAGCTTGTATTTGTCATTAGATGCAAGGGGAAGCAGATAGAAACTGTGTTAAATAGATGAGTCAAGGGTTGATTCCCTTCCCTCAGAATACAGCTACTAGTGTTTACATACTGATGGTAGTTAATGAGTATGATGAAGGTGATCTTCAGATGAAAGGAAGATCAACAAAACAAACTGATATATTTACTACCCTTGAGGAGTTCCATAGAGTATTTGTTGAATTTCCCAAAAAAGCATAGAGAGGAGGCCAGGGGAATACTTTCTAATATTTATTTTAGATGTGCAGTGTCCTCATAGACTCCATCTGTAGGAAAAGGGGTTGACCTGGGGGGTTCATATACAAGAAACATTCACCCTGCCCCTACCATGTGCTGACCCTATGCTAAATACTTTTAGATAAATTGTCTCTTTTAGTGCTGTCCCTATGTGTACCAAACCCTGCACTTAATCAGAACTTCAAACAAGACTTTGAGGAGAACCTAAGTCAACCTAGGAACTGGATCTGCTCTTCCAACACACCTTTTCCAGAAATAACAGCAATTTTGCAAGAAGTAGAAAATTCAACCTATACCTCTACTGTAAGGCTTGTGGTTCCTTTGTGATCAAAATTGTAGAAGCCAACTTAATGATGAATTTAAAAACAGAAAATTGGGATCTGAATAGACAGAGATTTAGATAATCCAGTTTCATCTTAAAAGGAGTATTTTTTTGGTCTTGACAATTTTCTTATACCCCAGTGAGGAAAAAAAAGAAATCAAGGATGGTATCAAATCAAAACTATATATTTTATAAGACTTCTACTTCTTTTATTTTTAAAGAATATAACGTTTAATAAAATATAGTTATATATTACCACGGTATATTTACCACTATTTCAGTAATAGCTCCTATAAGTAAATGATTCAGAATGTAATCCCTCCAAGAAAGCCATCAAAGCGTTTTTTTTTTTTTCTTTGTTAGTATCCATAGAACAAATTAACCAGATGGAAAGCTTTAGTCAGCTGTTTTGGTTTCATGGGAGAGTAGTTCATCAGCTCTCAGGAGATTTTATATTTGACCTCTCCACACAAGATATTCAACTCCCTACAAACTGGGTTTGCAAATATGTCCCTAGAGACTAATATCAAACATTCCACCACAATTCTATGATGCTTGTTTTAGGTTATTTTTGATTGATGGCCTGAAGTTATGGCTTCAGTTATTTTTAAAATTGTTTGTTGATTTTTTAAAAAGTAGTGTTTGAGGGGGGGTAGAAAATAGACTCCTTCTTCAAAATGGGAACTACAGTTATAATTGTGCATTTTCCATCAAGTCAAGTATACCTACAGCCGATCTACCCATGACTTTTCCATTCTTACATCTCAGTTGATACTTGGGTGGGATCGTGAGCAGCTATTATTGTTCTCATTTATAGTTAAGGAACATAAAGGCCAGAAAGGTTAAATGGTTTCTACAACAGTGGCTAAGTTATATGCTAGTGCTCAAGCAACCAGGGCAACATTCTACAGCTTCTGGTTTCTAACCTAGTTCTTCTCAGTATGTTCTGTCTTGGGTTATAGGCAAAAACAGCTAAGGATGTACATGCAGGTCTGCTCAACTCAACCCTCAGAACCAGGAAAAGAAAAAAAAAAAAAAGCCTAAAAGTAGAACTTCTTTACGAGTTATCCAAACTCCTTCATATTTTTCAGATATGTGCATTTTAATTTCTTCTGCTGTAAAACATATACTTACCCCATTTGGCCTAGTTTACACAGATTTTGGAAGATTTACTTTTTCATATATCTCATTTAACTCCCTTAAACTTTGTCAAATTCAGTCACTCACTCAAACAGCATTTCGGCTAACATCAGAGATCTCAGAAGACAAAGATCTTGTGATCCTGGTAAAGATATGGTTTGTCTCAAAATGTTGCGCGCAGACCCGAAAAGCCTGGTTTAACTTCCAACAGACAATTGAAGTATCTGATCCAACAGCTCAAAAACTAATAGGGGCACCTGGGTGGCTCAGTCAATTCAGCAATCGACTCTTGATTTCAGCTCAGGTTATGATCACAGGGTCCTGGGATGGAGCCACATATCGGGCTCCACGTTCAGCAGGGAGTCTGCTTCAGGATTCTATCTCTTCCTCTCCCTCTGCCCCTCCCCCTGTGTGCTCGCTCTCTCTCAAATAAATAAATCTTTAAAAAAAACTATTAATAGAAGCATATTATTGCCCCTAGTTTAGAGAAAAATCCTTTAATAATATCAACAGATAAACCACCTACTTCTGCTGTTTGTTTGATATCTTCCTCAGTGGGTAATGGAGGAGCCCTCCAGCTGTCTTCTTCAGCTGCCATCACAGGGAAAGTGAAAGAATGTTGCTTGCCACAGACATGCCCTTAGGGCTTTACCTTCTGTTCCCTAACCTTCATTTTCAGTCCTTTGACATATTTGCCACAGATGTAACAGATATAAATGAATTCACTACTCAAGTGGACATATAGCATACAAATTCTTAACTCTTTTCTACTTGAGCCTTTATCCTTTATTCTGTTGACAGAATCCTCTTTGCATATATGTTTCAGTACTTGTCTTGGACTCCAAACCCTCATAGACCAGGACGTTTTCCAGGCCTTTGTTTTTTCAGTCATAAACCATGTTCTGAGGTGCTGCTCTGCTCAGACCTGAGATACAGAAATGAAGTAAGCAACATCGTTACTCTTTGAGGAGCTCACAAGTGAGAGAGACACACATGGGACAAAAATACTGTCACAAAATGTGGCAAAAGGGAAACAGACATATGTATGAACTAATGAGAGCAACAACTCTTTCCTGAGGGTATGAGAAAGCTGCAGAGAGGAGGATTTTTAACTGGACCCTGATGGGTGAGGAGAAGCATCAGGCAGACAAGATCAGTGTGACAAGGGGAGGGTACTAGATGCGGAAGAAAAGCCACAGGTGGACACTCAACCGCACAAATGGGTGTAGTGTATTTGAAGAACAGGGAGTCGCTGGTGTGGCTAAAGCCTAGGTAGGATGAGGGTGTGTTGGGCAGTGCTGGGGCTGGAAAGGGCTGGAGCAAACGGGAACAGTAGCAAGGTAGTAAAGGGTCTTTACGCTAACTAATGGAGTTTAGACTTCATTGTATGACCAAAAATGAGCTGCTGGAGGTTTTTTTCCAGCGAGGGGAGATGATCAGAGGAGGTTGAGAAAGATTCTTCTTGAGCATGTGGAGGATGTTCTAGAACTCCCTAGAGGAAACTGAGCTTATCATTAGAGAACAAAAGTCATGTAGTAGAAATGTGCTTGGTTCTGCTCAGTAGAGGAAGAAATCTTTAATAATGTCTTCAGGTCAATGTAAACTATTATGACCCATCGGAGATAGGAGGAGGGCCTAAACTAAGATTTAGGGATGCTTCTGAAGTGGGATAGAGAGGATGTGGTACCCGATAAACACAGATAGGGGGTGCGGGCAGGGAGGGAGGAGAGGAGAATGATGGCAACAGTTGCCTCAGGAAACTAGGTGGTGATCTAACTATGCACTGTAGATGGTCTCTATAACCACGGAGCACAGAGGAATATACTTCGTTCAGTGAGGCTTCCAAAACGCTCCTGACCGGCCGTCAGAGCAACAATTCAAATTTAAATCCAAAACGGTAAAATCACAGGTAAATTCAGTTAAGTAGAGTTTGAATTAAGATTCTTCATCCCGTTTCTGGTTCCACTGAAGTTTGGTATATCAATCACAAACTTCAAAGACTTAAACATTTTGTACTAACACTTCCCAAGAGGATTTTAATACTCCTTTCACCATTTAGATTTAGTTTCTCCCCAAGTTCTTCCCTAAAGAAAAGCAGAAACACGTCTACTTTACTGAATCAATGAAAGCCTGCCTGGGCAGTTGAAACAGTCCTCAGCACTCTCCTAGGAGCAGAGATGTATTTATATAGACGGAGCGAAGCTGTTTTGAATAGCCGGATGGCAATTAAGCCAGAAATCCCAGTAAACTTTGAACTAAAGAACTGTGCACTTTTACATATGGCATGATTTGCATCTATTTAGCAAAATTTACAGATCATGTATTAGAGCCAGCAGTAATCTTAAATACCATTTATTGTATATCCTCTATTTTAAGAATTATAATCAATGTGAGGATTTTATACATTATCCCCTGCCTCCATAGGGAACAAAAAGCTGTTATCAAAACAATGTAAGTTATAATTGATATTTAGAATAAAAAATATATGGTAATTCAACTACCCCAATAAATAAAATTCCTCAAAAATACACCAACAATAGAGATGTTACTGGAAGCCAGAAGGCTCAAATTATATCCTTGTACACTTCAACTCCACCATAAGAAGGAAAAGTCCTCTCACATTTGAAACTTGTAATCCATGACTGGAGAGTAATAAGATACATACAGGTTGTCCTTGATTTGCACAATGTTCATGCACAAAGCTCATGCATATTGTAACCATGTCCTTGCTTTGCACATTTCATGGTACTGAGAAAGTGTGTGTGAGAGAGAGAGAGAACTTCTCCCCTCACTTGCATCTAAAATGGTCCCCCTCTGGGTGCGTGCATGGCTCAGTCAGTTAAGCATCTGCCTTTGGCTTAGGTCATGATCTCAGGGTCCTGGGATCAAGCCCCACGTTGGGCTCCCTGCTCAACAGGGAGTCTGTTTCTCCCTCTCCCTCTGCCCCTTCCCCCACTGGTGCACAATCTCTCTCTTTCTCAAATAAATACATAAAATCTTTAAAAAATAAAAAATAAAATAAAATGGTCTCCCTCGGGTCCCTTTTGATTCAGTTCACACGCATCCCAGATCTTCCTTGTTTAGACAACTTCCATGACCACCATCAGCATGCAAAACCTTTCTCTAGATATTGCTACACCCTTGTGGATTATTTCTCTTTTGACAAACATAAGAAAGGATTGTTTAATACATACTACTCTACTTATTTATCCTCAACTCATTTTTTGAAATCTCTAAAAAAAATAAAGCATTTCACATATAGGAAAGAATATTTCTAATATATATGCAAAGTACAATAGCAATTTAGTCTAAGAAATCAAACATTTCCTATCAATTTGTGTGGATTTTTTTTTGTAGTTTCAAGTTTTTATTTAAATTGCAGTTAGTTAACATATAGTAATATTAGTTTCGGGAGTAGAATTTAGTGATTCATCACTTACACATAACACCCAGTGCTCAATCGCAAGGGCCATCCTTAATCCCTGTCACCCATTTAACCCATTCCCCACCCACCTCCCCTGAGCAACCCTCAGCTTGTTCTCTACAGGTAAGAGTCTGTTTTATGGTTCGCCTCTCTCTTTTTTTGTTCCCCTATGTTCATCTGTTTCATTTCTTAAATTCCACATGTGAGTGAAATCATATGGTGTTTGTCTTTCTCCGAATGATTTATTTTGCTTAGCATCATACACTCTAACTCCATCCATGTCATTCAAAAGGCATGATTTCATTCTTTCTGATGGCTGAGTAATATTCTATTGTTTATATATACAATAACCTCTTTATCCATTCATCAGTCAATGGACATTTGGGCTCTTTCCATATTTTGGCTATTGTTGATAATTTTGCTATATGTGCACGTATCCCTTTGAATCAGTTTTTTTTTTATCTTTTGGGTAAATACCTAGATCCTTCATCTTTGAAAACCTCTTTGCAACTTCTCAATACCCATCTAATTCCAGAAGTTAGATAATCTTAAATTGCACCCTGATTTTTGTGTTTACCATCATCATGCTTTTTAAAATAGCTTGAATAATATATATTTATTATGTTTAATAACATGTTAACTAACATACTAACATGTATTTTTAATATATTAACCTATTTATTATAATTTCTAATAATCAGTTTGAGCTGTTCTTGAACTTTATAAAAGTGTATTTACTTTTTTGTGAACTACTTGCTTCACTCAATATTGTAAAGTTGAGGTAAAGTAAATTCATTGAGGATGAATTACCTGCAATTCATCTGTATGAGCATATATCTACCTCTGTATCTATTTTCCCTTTGATAGCTATTCAGAGTTTCCTGTCATGGCTACTATAAACTATGCTGCTATGAGCATTCTTTCACATGATCTCTGCAAGATTTTATGATTTACACACTTAATGGGTGAAACTGCTGAGTCATACAAAAGGTACATGTTCAACTTTACGATATTATGAAATACTGTTTTTCAGAGTGATTTTATCTGTCCATCTTTCACTTTTATTTTCAGTGTCTGCTTCTGTTGCTCCTTATCCTCACCAGTATTTCATATTGTCAGACTTGTTCATTTTTTCTGACCTTATGAGTGTAAATGTATTTCATTATGGTTTGCTAAACAGATCAAATCCAATTCCATGGAATAGATTGAGCCTTCTTTAAAATATCTGTCATTTAAAGAAGAAAAATATTTGCGTATATCTTTTGCCCATTTTTCCATTAGCTTATTTTTAATTCTTATTGATTCATGGAGTGTTTTATATATTCTGTATTCTAATCCTTTGTCAGTTATATGTGTAGCAAATATCTCTTAACCTGTCATTTTGTGGTTCTCTTTTCTTTTAATAGTGTCTTTCAATGACCAATTACTTTTTCCAAATGTCAATCTGCTCATTCATGGTTTGTGTGTTTGCATCTTTTCAAAAACTTGCACTAGCTTGAGGTCATAGAAATTTACTCCTATATTTTAAAGTTTTGCTTTTCATATTGATGATGGAATTGTTTGAGTATAGTATAAGGTAGGGCTCCGACCTAATTTTTTGCCATGTAAGTAACCAATTATTCCAGGACCATTTGTTGAATAATTTTTTTACTCCCATTAAACTGAAATATCATTCTCTATATGTCAAATATATCAATATTTATAAATATAAATATATCAAAAATAAATACATCATATTTATCTGATATGATTTGGTTATGATTTGTTTCATATCTGATTTGGTTCTCCATTCTATTCCTCTGGTCTCTTGGTTTATCCAGTTCTTTTTTTTTTATGTTATGTTAATCACCATACATCATTAGTTCTTGATGTAGTGTTCCATGATTCATTGTTTGTGTTTAACACCCAGTGCTCCATGCAGAACGTGCCCTCTTTAATACCCATCACCAGGCTCACCCATCCCCCCAATGCCCTCCCCTCTAGAACCCTCAGTTTGTTTCTGAGTCCATAGTCTCTCATGGTTCGTCTCCCCCTCCCAATTCTCCCGCTCCATTTTTCCCTTCCTGCTATCTTCTTCTTCTTCTTCTTCTTCCTTTAAACATATAATGTATTATTTGTTTCAGAGGTATAGGTCTGTGATTCAACAGTCTTACGCAATTCACAGTGCTCACCATAGCACATACCCTCCCCAATGTCTATCACCCAGCCAACCCATCCCTCCCACCCCCACCACTCCAGCAACCCTCAGTCTGTTTCCTGAGATTAAGAATTCTATGAGGAATTCTTAAAAATTAAACCTAATTCTTAAAAAAACAAACTAAAAAAATTAGGTTGGAGCCTTACCTTATACTATACTCTTAATCTCAGGAAACAAACTGAGTGTTGCTGGAGTGGTGGGGGGTGGGAGGGATGGGGTGGCTGGGTGATAGACATTGGGGAGGGTATGTGCTATGGTGAGCACTGTGAATTGTGCAAGACTGTTGAATCACAGATCTGTACTTCTGAAACAAATAATGCAA